CCCCCCAAAAACAATCAAAGGAAAGGACCCATGAGTCGAAGTTATAAGGAAATATACTAGTGTAAAATTCAAAGATGACATTTTAATATTAGTGTCCCCTCTCCACCATTTTCCCGTCTCCTCGTCTCCTAAATTTCTCCTGCTTACTTTTCTAACTTGTTGGCAGCATCCCCGGTCACTCAATTTCCCATTTCATTTGCCTTCTCCATCTCCTTGTCTCTTAGGTGCAACTGGTCATTCAAACATGTCTAAACTCTGTCTCTGTCCCCTGGTCATCACCTGAGTTCAGATCTTGGTTTCCCAACTCCAGTTTAATATTGCTAATTCATGCTCTTAGTTACCAACCTTTTATTTTTTGCCTAGTTTTGTAGTTATATCTTATAGTTAAATCCACAGATTAATGATTCATTGTTTATCGTATCTCTCTCCTACTAGAAATATGACACTGATGCATCTTTTTACAATAGTGCTTCTTAATACAGAGGACTTAATACATATTTTTGGACTGAATAAAGAAATGAGCTTCATTCACACATTGATCAATATCTTTTTCCTCATTTCTTCTTGCATCTTCTTTCATGGTTTATGTTATTTTTTTCAGAAATATATTGAAGTATACAGCTTAAATTTGTCAGTAAACATTCTTAGCTCTGTCTGCAAATGTCTTTTTTCAACCATACTTTGAATGTTAACTTAGCTGGGTATAGAATTCTAAATTGATAATTATCTCTTCTCAGAACTCTGAAGATACTATTTTACTGCCTTCTGATTCCTAATACTAGTTTTGGTAACTTTGCTATTTGTCATTTTTTTCATAGATAATATTCCCTCAGGTCCCTTTTTAGATCTTTTCTTAGTCTGCAGTGTTCTTTCCTCCTAGTAATTTATTTTGAAATAGTTATAGATTCACCGAGTTACAGAATAGTACAGAGGGTTATCCTGTGCCCTTTATTCACTTTCCCATAATAGTTACACCTTACATTACTATGGTCCATTACCAAAACCAGAAAATTGTCATTGGTGACATGTTTATATATAGTCATATACCATTTTATCACATGTATGGACTTACGTTATAAGCACTCC